CCCTCTTGGGTGGTAGTAAATCTCTTTTCTTCGGTGATGGATCCTACCCTGAGCAAGTATTCATGGTATTTCTCTTAAGAAAACAAAAAAATAACAAGAGCCATGTACCCCATGACCTTCTGGTCTTAGCCCAACAACAACAACGGATATGGTGGCAGTGAAACCTCCAGCAAAAAGGTCATTATAGGGATCCCATTATAGCAGCTCCACTGACTATTGATCTATTTCCAGGAACAATTCAAAGTGCTGGTTCTAACCTATAAACCTCTAAACAGCTTGGGTCCCAAACTATCTCAAAGACCATGTCTCTCATTTGAACCTGCTTGGATGTTAAGATAATCAGGAGACACCTTTCGGTTCCAACACCTTCACAGGTGTGTTTGGTGGGTAGACCCAGGGGAGACCCTTCTCCAGTGCTGCTCCCAGACTTTGGAACTCCCTTCAACAGGAAGCCAGGCTAACCCCACCTTTGCTGTCCTTCCACAAACAGGCAAAGATTTTTCTCTTCAGGCAGGCTCTCTCACTGGCTGGCTGTCTGAGTGGGGCCTTTCAATGGATTGTGGTACTTTACTGATTTGAAAGTGTTTTGGTGTTGCCTTTGTTTACTGTTTTTTTTATAGTGATATTTGCTTGATCCTTTTTAACATTTGTATACAGTAGGACTCTAATGTCCGTTAGGCATTGGTTCCACGCCCCCTGTGGATAACAGCAAACACTATATGTATAGCATAGTGAAAGAAAAAACAACAACAGAAAAAATGTTTTCACAGTTCTAACCTATAACGTTCTAAACAGCTTGGGTCCCAAACTATCTCAAAGACCATGTCTCTCATTTGAACCTGCTTGGATGTTAAGATAATCAGGAGACACCTTTCGGTTCCAACACCTTCACAGGTGTGTTTGGTGGGTAGACCCAGGGGAGACCCTTCTCCAGTGCTGCTCCCAGACTTTGGAACTCCCTTCAACAGGAAGCCAGGCTGACCCCACCTTTGCTGTCCTTCCACAAACAGGCAAAGATTTTTCTCTTCAGGCAGGCTCTCTCACTGGCTGGCTGTCTGAGTGGGGCCTTTCAATGGATTGTGGTACTTTACTGATTTGAAAGTGTTTTGGTGTTGCCTTTGTTTACTGTTTTTTTATAGTGATATTTGCTTGATCCTTTTTAGCATTTGTATACAGTAGGAGCCTAGTGTCCATTAGGCATTGGTTCCACACCCCCTGTGGATAACAGCAAACACTATATATGTAGCATAGTGAAAGAAAGAAAAAAACAACAGAAAATATGTTTTCACAGTTGTGGCCACGTATATATTGGAACCACAAAACGCAGCATCCACACCAGAATTAAAGAACACGAGAGACACTGCAGATTAAAACAACCGGAAAAATTGGCAGTAGCTGAACATGCCCTGAAACAAGGTGGACACGCAATTCTATTTCAAAACACAGACAAAGGGCCTTTTCAGCAGCTGCCCCCAGACTATGGAACGCCATCCCAACTGAGATTTATCTGGCGCCGACGCTGATGCCATTTCAG